TCCTCTTCTCCCCGTTCTTGGCTTCCAATCTTGCTGCTGCTTCGATTTCTCTCCACTGACTATTTGCAATTTTTTGTAAATTCACCGTGCCCGCCTCTAAATCCTTGTTCTCATCTTTGAGCACGTTAACCTGGGCCAGCAGTATCGCTCCTTGCCTTCTCAGATCCTGTTTTGTGTCCTCCTCTTCCTCCCCCCTCTGTTGTTCCGCTTCCTTCATCAGTCGATCATGTGATCCATCCTCCAATCCCACTCTACTTCCCTGTTCTTCCTCCCTCTGTGCTTTTCTTTTCTTGCTTCCTCGCTTTCCTTCCTTGCTGTGATATGTCTTTGGCCATTGAAAATTTTTTGCATATTCATCCTGTTGAATTTGAATGTCATTTTTGATTGGGCGAGCTTTCCTGGCATATTGGGCAGCGTAGAATTCATTAATTTCCCCTTCCCTCTTTAACAATTCAAACCTATTTTCCGAAGTAATGTCGTCTGCCACTTGTGTTGCCTGTTTGAGATTTCTCGAGTGTTTGTGATGGGCCAACCTGATCTCGCATTCAATCGTCCTACCCCATTCTAATTGTTCCACTTCTTGGACCCACCGCTCTAGGGTCATGTTCTCCTCCTCTGACGTTTCCCGTTCTCCGCTCTTCTTCTGATGAATCCTCCGATTCCATATCCTGTGAGCTGTCCCTCTGATCTTCCTCTGCCTGCAATATTTCCTCTTCAGTCATATTTTCTACATTGTGCATTAACTTTTTTTTTCCCTCTCTCTCCCTATCAGATTCTGATGGTGTGGAGGCATCCTGAGATACTTCCTGGCGCTCTCTTCCTGGACTTCCGTCTCCAGACACCGTTGTGTCGTGTGTGGTTCCTTCCTGTGACTCCGCTGTTGTGCTCCCCTCCGTTGTTGTGCTCTTGTGTTGCCTTTTCGCTTGCTGAGCACTCCCCTCCTGCCTATCTGACCCCTCCGGTTCCACCGACGATTCCTTCCTTTTCAAGGGTTGACTTCCCCCACTTGTGCCATCTCCCTCCTCCTCTCCACAATTCATGCTTTCTCCCTGTCCTTCCCCCATTTCCCAGTGGTTCCCTCATTTTCCTTCTGATGTTCCTGCTGCTGTGCCCTGGCCGCTGTATTTTCCAAAAACGCCCTTTTTGCATTTTTCCCAACTGTGTGAAGTTCATCCATAAGTTTCATTCTTTGTTGGACATCTGGCATGATTGTGTTGTCCAACATTGGTCTAGATATGTATCATGTTTCCTTATCTTCCATCCTCTTTGCTTCCGCCTGTCTCCATCCGCTGTCATATGGGGGGTAAATGTCCGGTTTAATCATAGGGTCCTTCTTTAGTATCCACACCCACTTTGGGTTCTCCAAATTATCATCGAAGATCCACCCCCTGTATTGTGGTGAATTAATATACCATACCCCTAGTTTGCTTTCACATTCCTGGAGCATCGACCGACGCAGAGGAGTCTGCTTACCACCTGCCCCTCCCTATGGACAGGAAGTTCCCAAATGACCCCTTCCTCTGCACTTGAAGCAGAACGGATTAGTTTTGGACGATATAAAGACCGTAATCCTCTGCCCACTTCTCCTGAAAATCCATTGGTCCGGAAACCTCGGCGGAGCTCCCGATTTAACCTCCCAGCACGCCACCCGAGAGTCATTATTTGGTGCGAGGAAGCCCGGGCTTGCAGGGAGCCAATCGATGATTGAATTATTGGGGAATTCCTCCACTAACCTTTTCTGAACGAAGCTATTGTCAGGGATGTCCTGCTAGAACTCTGATCTTGTAGGTTGTTGACTGCTTCGTTGCTGGTCTCCTCCTCTCTGCCATGCCGTCGAATTTATGTGGCCCGTATTGGGTCCTGCCAGTCTGCTGATCTGGACCTCTGCCTTCTAAACCCCAGTTCTGAATTGTGTCAGCCTTTCCAACGTATATGGGAGCCATTTATGTCCGCTACCCTGCTTCCCACCAGCCATACCCTTGCAAATTTAGCTTTCATTTTCTGCTGCAGGTCCAGATCCTCTGGCATAGAGTGTGTTGTTTTCTGCCACGTGCATAGAATCTCAGCGTAGATCAATGACCTTGTACCCACCCAAATGCTCTCTCTCGGAGTGGAGAGCACCTTCCATATCGACCAAAGAGTCACCTTTCTGATCATGCCGAACCAGATCTTCTCCGTCTTCCGAAAGTAGGCATGGATGTAAGTCCATAGGAGGAGTTGCATGGGGTGCTCAGGAAAGGGGGTAGGAAAAAGGGATTCCCAAAGGTCGGATGCCCTAGCCTAGTATTCCGTCACCTCTCTACAACTTATTAAGCAGTGTATCATGTCTTCTGATTCATTGTCCAAGCATACCATACCTAAGTCCGCGCTGCTAGGATCGGTCTTCCTTCTTCTAATATGTAACCATTGGTTAACTGGTAGAGTCACACAGGAGATGAGCCTCCTGATTTTGACATGCCGAATTGTTTTGAAAATTTCCATGGTATTTGGGATATCTGATTGGCATCCTGACCGATTAACTTCGTTCTTCATTGTGGGATAAGGATCCTTAGTCTTAAGAAGGCAGTTGTATCACAGTTTAACTGTGTACTCATGAATGTGGATGGCCATGCTGATATTCTTGCTTCTGCCTGGTGTCCAGGCCCATTCTGACGGGTCAAATTCCAAGTCTTGAATTGCAGTGTCCATTTTGATGATTGTTTTTTGCCACACCCCCAACACTCTTACTTTTCTGAGCACGAATGGATTTAGGGCTATTAGCTCCTCATCTTTGTTTAGAATGGAGGAGGAGCCATGCATTGTAGGAGTAATTGGAAAAGAAGTGAAAACAGCCAGGGTGTCTGATCCCTGTTGCTTATGGGAGAATTGTAAGGCCCTTGTGGGTGCTGTTTCCTGAACCAGCACTCCCCAATTGATGATAATTTGGATGTTCTCATCTCGTCGGCAGCATCCCTTGAGGCGGAAACCAAGCACCTGTTCCCAAAGCCTGTCCTTTTTCTCCTCATCCTAATATGGCTCATTTTCCATACTCCGTGGTTAATTGATGATATCCATCTTCCCTGTGGCTTGAGAGAAAGTGGCTGAGCGCTTTCGTCTCTCACCCAAGGATTCCCGAAGAGGGTTGTCTCAAGACTTCCTCTGTGGACCTGGATCTGCCACTTTCTTTGGCATGGTTTCCCACCATATTCGCAGAAATGCAGTCCAGTAAGGTGTAGGGGGGCTCCCTCTTCGTTGGTTTCTACGGTCTTTGTTTGGGCGCCATTCCTTATTCATTACCCAAAATAGACCGGACACGTTTGCTGGTGTAGTTGTTGGCGCTAAGTACCACGGTCTTTGTTTGGGCGCCATTCCTTATTCGTTACCCAAAATAGACCGGACACGTTTGCTGGTGTAGTTGTTGGCGCTAAGTACCTGATACTGTCCAAAGCCAGCCATGCCAGTCCCGGTTTGGTCAGGAGCTTAACAATCCACTTCACTTGTAGGGCTTTTGTTTCCTTGCTTGGGATCAATAATTCTGAGCCCTCCTTTGACTGGTTTCCTTTTGATATAATGCCACACTATCTTTGGTATGAAGTTCTCTTTGTTGGGGTCTCCCAACCACAGGCAGGGTCTTGCTTTGCGATTAACGTCCTTGATTGTATGGTTGGGCACTTTCCAGATTGAGGCTATATACCACATCATTGAGAAAACAGAAGTGGTCAGAGCTTGGCCTGACAGGGATTCTCCGTTCTTTTCTTCCTTTGTCTAATTCTCTTTCCAAACTCTTTCACTTTGCAAACTTGCAATTGAACGGCATTGTCTCTTTTTGAGTTTTGCACTGTGAAAATTTTAGGGTCAGTCCTTTGTTTCCCAACTTGAATGCCTAAAGAATGCCAATTATTGGTGCCATCTGAAGAAAGTCAGAGTCCTGTTGCGGTGGAAGAGCTTGATGTAGTCAAAAACAATTGAAAGCATGAACCGTTGAACATCAGACTGTCAGATCTTGAAATTACTGCAGTTCAGGCAGAACCGAGGGTGGGAATATAACAGTGAAGCTGAAACGAGAAAGAAACTTTTAAGCATTATTAACATGGTAACCGACCGGACGTCCGGACCGGGTTCCAGACAGTGCGGAACAACATGTCCGGTGTCCGGTCCTTGTGTCCTGATGGAGGCCCCAGGGCAAAAATCGAAAAAAATGAAGGGGGGTGGGGCAGGACGTTTTTCGGGTCGTGGTCGCCCCTGGAAAAATAATGGGGTGATTTTTCAGTGTCGTTTCACCCCACTGGACAGGGCCTAGAGGTCCAGACACAAGACACTGCAGGTTTTTGGGGTGGCGGGTTTCACACAGGCCCGAGCAATTTCAAAGCGGCCATTTCGATGCGCCGCCCGCCGCTGCTGCCCGTTGCCAAGAGAGAGAGAGAGAGAGAGAGAGAGAGAGAGAGAGAGAGAGAGAGAGAGAGAGAGAGAGAGAGAGAGAGAGCACTGACAGTACTGCCAGTCTGAAGACTCTCACGTTCGGAATTCAACTGCAAAGTTCGAACTTCTAAGTTATATGAAGTTATGAACTTAAATTGCTTAATTCAAAGCCCAAACTTCAAAGTTAATCATACCTTTTTCTTTTTTTTTTCCCCTGTTTCTTTAGTCTTGTGCCTGCTTTGCACTGCTTGCAACTCTGCATGTCTGCTAGTTGAATGTGCTTGTTGATTTGCTGCAAGACAGGTGCTCTGTTGCCTGAACTACAAAGTGCAAAGCAGGTAAGTGCCTGCCAACAGGGC